TCGCTGCCGCCTCATCCACTGCTACCACTTCGGCCGCCACTGCCGCCTCATCCACTGCTGCCACTTCCGTCGCTGCCATCGCCACCACAGCCGCATCCTCCCCCACCACCCCCATGGTTGAGTCTTCCAGTATCAACATGTCCCCCATGCACACCTAGTCCATCGACAGTCTCGCCCGTGAACTTGCAGGCGAACAACGAACCAGCCCTGCCATCGCCACCGACCTCTCGGGCATCCTCCACATGCTCTCCACCGTACAAACAACCGTTCGAACATCTCTCACCGACATGCAAACAACTATCTCCGCTCTCTCCGATCGCATGACCGCCTTCGAGCGACGAGCTCCGGTCATCACAGTGGTCACCACAACTCCACCCCCTTCCACATCCGGACCGACCACCTCCTCCACTCCGACCCCCACCACCACTCCTCCCTCAGCCTCTCCTCCTTCGTCATCATCGACCACCCCATCCTCCAGCAACACCATCCCACCCTCCACTTCTTCCACTTCCGGCCCCACACATTCCACCCCTGCCATCACACACTCCTCCTCCCTCCCTCCTCACCAACACATCTCTGCCCCCATCCTATCCACCTCGACCATCACATCCATCCCACTCACATACGCGCAAGTCACCAAAATCCCCTACACGTCATCCTCGACAGTCCTCCCCGGCTTCCCCCAACCTCCCCCCAACAACCTTATTCCTACCAACCCCACAGACGACGACACCCGCATCGCGTCCGCCCCCACATCCTCTGACTTCAACACCCTCGCTCGTCGTGTCCCCAAAATCGGCTACCTTCCCCCCTCCCTACGCCTCCAAGACATTCCCACCTTCTCCCGACAATCCCATGACGATGTTCTCCTCTACTTCGCCAAATTACAACAAGCTTTCGAACTCCACAATGTCCCCCTTATCCACTACCTTTCCATCGCCAACAACAAACTCGTCGACAACGCCCATCGCTGGTGGATCTCTGAATCCGCCAACCGCCACTCCTCGGGTCTTCCCCCCCTCTCCTTTCTCGAGTGGGCCTCCCTCCTCTCTGGCACCTACCTACCGCCCGCGAAAGAAAATCGGCGACTACGTCGACCAGTTTCGGAGGCTTCGCCAAAACAGCCCCACCGACCGCTTCGTCCAATATGTCCGTACTCTCCGCCAAAACATTCCCCACAACCAAATCAGCGACAACGTCTTCATTTCCCGCTTCAAGCGGGTCTGCCGCAAGGACATCGCATCCGCCCTCGCCTACGAGCCACCCATGTCCCTCACCGACCTCCTCACTCATGCCCTTCAACACTATCGCCTTCTTTGCCCTGTTCGCGGTGCCACCACCTCTCGTCCACGCTTTTTTCACAACATCTCCGATGAGGATACCACCGTAGAGTCTCCCTCCACGACGAATTCACAACCCCTATCGTTGAGCCCAACACCCTTTTCGACTCCTCCACCCTGGTGTCCCTCAGCTCGGAGGAACTCCACACCATCCAGTTCTTGCGTATGGAATGCAAGGACCGCATGGCTTGACCATCTTCCTCCACCCAACCCCCCCGTCTCAAGAAACTCACAATCGAGGAACACACCTACCTGCAAGCCAACAATGGATGCTTCCGTTGTCGGCAGCTTGGACACTAGCAAACAAACTGCCCCAACGCTGGCCAGTTCACTCGGCATGTGAACAAACCTATGACATCCACTTCTTCGGCCGCCGCGGGACCGGTCCCTCCTCATCGTGAACTCTGTACCCTTGATCATGGAGTGCACATCCCGACATCGACAACTAGTCTGTCGGCCCCATGATTGGTGATGCCCATCATTCCACCGATGATTCCTTCGACATCGACATTTAGTCTGCCAACCACAACCCCGACGATGAATAATCCACCGATAGACCCCCAAGCCTCGCAGTCCACTCCGCCTGCCCCCCTCCCGGCAACATCCCCTACCCCCCCGGATGAGATCAACACCGCCTCGTGCTCATCCACCCTCCTCCCCAACCCTTCCTCCATCTCCATCTCTGATGCTGTCGCGGAACAAGCACGACTCAATCGGCTTGTTAAGTTAGGCCTCGAACAACGCCGCCTCAACACGATGATCTCCTCCGCCTATGTCGACTCCTCCCAATTCCAACTTAAACTCATCGCCGCCTCTCTAGGTGCATCTACAATCAAGTCCCGGGTTCTCCTTCACATCAGAGCTACTGGTAACTTCATCACCGACGCTTGTGCCCGCAAAGCCGGTCTTCCTTCCACCGGTTATGACTCCCCGATCAGCATTCGAGTAGCGGACAAGGACACAGCCGTCGTAGTTGACTGCACCGTTCCCGAGACCACCATGACTATCGGCTCTCTCCGAAGTCAGGTCTCATTCGATGTCATGCACTTGATGTGAGACATCGTCCGAGGAACCCCATGGCTCGATCGTTTCATGCCCTACACATTCCATCCCACCTTCTTTCACATCACCACACCCCCTGGCCCTACCCTCGACATTCCCTACTTTCCTCACCCTACCTCCCAACCTTCCGTCAGCCCCCACCAGTTTCTCCACATGGCTCGTCAAAACCCCGACTCTACCTACTACTGTCTGTCCTTGATCATGACTTGCTTCCGACAGACAAACCCGACCAAGCTCCCCCTTCTGACCCCGCTCTTACTTCCATCATCGAGGAGTTCAAGGACGTCTTTCCCGAGTCCTTGCCTGTCGGACTAACTCTGGATCGTGGTGTCTCCCATACCATTGATCTGGAACCCAGCCACACTCCTCCGTGTCAACCACCCTACCAGCTCTCCGTTCCCGAGGTTTGATAAATGAAGCGACAACTAAACGAACTCCTTCTTGAAAAAGGATTCATTAAGCCAAGTTCCTCCCCCTTCAGTACAAGTTGCCTCTTCGTCAAGAAAGGTGGAACCACCGAACTCCACATGTGCACAGACTACCTCGCCCTCAACCGGATCACGATCAAGAACAAATACCCCATCCCTCGCATCTCCGAGCTTCTTGATCGCCTCCGTGGAGCCAAGTACTTCACAAAGATCGACCTCCAAAGTGGCTTCCACCAGATCCGCATACGCGAAGAGGATACTCATAAGACTGCCTTCCGCTCTCGCTTCAAGCATTACGAGTTCCTTGTGATGCCTTTCGGCCTCACAAATGCCCCAACAACCTTCCTGTCTACTATGAATCACATCTTTCGCGACCTTCTCAAAGTTTGTGTCGTCGTCTATCTTGACAATATCCTAGTCTTCAGCCCCACCTTCGAGTCTCACCTTCAGCACATTCGCCATGTCCTCTCTATCCTCAAAGCTCAAAAGTTCTACGCCAAGCTTAGTAAATGCACTTTTGCTGCCTCAAGCATAGAATACCTTGACCACATTGTATTCGCTGATGGCATCCACATGGACCCCTTGAAGGTCACCGTCCTTGTCGAGTTTCCCCCACCTACGACCTTACTGCAGCTTCATTTTTTCCTCAGCCTTGCCAACTACTACCGCCCCTTCATCGGCGACTTCTCCGAAATCTCCTACCCCCTCCACGAGCTCACCCGCAAGAACGAGCCTTTTGCATGGAACGAACGCCCTCAAGCCGCTTTCCACCTCCTCAAAGAAGTCGTTACCACAACCACTGTCCTCAAGATTGCTGACCCCTCTTGACATTTACCACTGACGCCTCAGACTTTGCTATTGGAACCGTCCCCTCCCAACACTTCCCCCCTAGCATCCCCGATCTCCCCTCCATCAAGGATTCCCCCACGCACTCTGAGGGTCCACCCGACAAGTACCCTATCGCATTTGCGAGCAAGAAGCTCACCCACGCGGAGATGAACTAGCCCTCCAATGAGAAGGAACTCCTCGTCGTCATCCATGCTCTCAAAGTATGGAGTCCATACCTCAACGGTCAATACTTCACTATCCATACTGACAACACCATCGTCTCAAGCATACTTCACCAAGAAAGATATCACACCCCACCAAGCTCGATGGTCAGATTTTCTCGCCCAATTTACATTCACGATCTGCCACACCCCCAGCGAAAGCAACCGCGTCGATGATGCCCTCTCTCGACAACCCGACCACAAGCCCCGTGAGAAAGTCTATGCCGCCATGACTCATGTTCAACTCCTACCCTCACTCCACCACCGCTATAATCACGGGTTTCTCTACCATCTACAACAGGCTTCGTGACCTCGACACTGTCCCCGACTACTCCCTCCACGACAGCCTCTTATACATTAACACTAAAGGCACTCGCCGACTCTGTATCCCTTACGCACGTGGTCTTCGTACCCAACTCTTGGTCGAATACCACCACGCCAAAGACTGCAGGACACCTTGGTTTCCAAAAGACATTGGACACCATCTCTCGTTACTTCTACTGGCCCTCACTCCTCGCCGACGTCAAATCATACATTCGATCCTGCCCCACTTGTCAAGCAGGCAACCCCTCAAACCAGGCCAAGCCTAGCAAGCTCCAGTCATTGCCTATCCCCATCCATAGGTGGCAGTCCATCTCTATGGATTCCGTGTGCAGTCTCCCCAAGACCGACCGCGACTATGACTGCATCTACGTCATTGTCTGCCGCTTGACCAAGCGGGCCTATTTAATCCCTTGCATCACTTCTCACAATGCCAAATACGTCACCACACTCTTCTTCAATCATGTCGCACTCCATCACGGGCTCAGTGACCGTGATCCTCGTTTCCTTTCCCAATTCTGGAAGAACCTGTTCAAAGCCTACGACACCACTCTCAAGTAGAACACTGCATTCCAGACCAATGGTCAGACCGAAAAGATGAACGATACTCTCCAAAGGCTCCTGCGGAAGTATTGTCATCCACACCAGCACGACTGGGATCAAATGCTCACCGCTGCCAAGATTGCCTACCACAACGTTGTCTGCCCTTCCACTGGCATGTCCCCATATTACCTTGACCTTGGCTACCATCCTCGCTTGCCCTCGGACTTCTTGCTTCCCTCGCAGCTCAACCCATCCACTCTTTGTCCTTCTCTCAATGAACGGGTTGCAACAATGCACTGCCTCCTCACAGAAGTCACTGATGCCCTTGAACGAACCCAACAACAAGAAGCCAACAAGACCAACAAGCACAAACGAGATATCACATTCAAAGTAGGGGACAAAGTCTGGCTCTCCACCAAACGCTTCGAACCCGATCATGGCTTGTCCAAGAAACTCTCAAACAAGTGGCTTGGTCCTTTCCCCGTCATTGAACAAACATCCCCTATAAATTACAAACTTCAACTACCCCCTGACATTAGCCGTGTTCACCCTGTCTTCCATGTTGAGTAGTTGAAAGAATATCATGAATCACCTCCACAATTTGTTGACCGCCCATATCCTAGAGCCCAACCGATCATGCTACCTATCGGGCCAGAATTCGTGGTAGAATCTAGCATAGGACAAAGAACAACTCAAGTATCCGATCACCCGAAACCAATCACTGAATACAAAGTGAAATGGACCGGATACCCAGATGAAGAATCTACATGGGAACACCTCGATAATCTCAAGAATGCCATAAAACTTGTTCGTGCCTATGATTGTGCTCACCGTGTATCCTAGCTATATACTACACATAACACCCATATACCCTGCATAAACCCTGCCTCATTGCTCTGCACACACCCCCTGCACCCAGCAAAACCCCTGCCCCTCGATCTCTCTCTGTCTGATCCTCTCTTGCCTCCGTCTTGTTCCCCAATCTGTCCTCTGCCACATCCTTTGTCTCTCCTTGTCCAAGCCTTACCTGTGGCTCCTGCGCATCGCCGGCGATTAAGGATCCAATGGCAAGCGCACGAGGACGATGGCCTGCTGCAGCACAGTTCGAGGAGATTAAGCAGCTGGTTGGCCACCATGCTGTCCCATTGGCCGGCACCGGGACTTGCAGACTTCTGAAGCAGCACTCTTGACATGAACATCAGGATCAGTCTGTGACCTGCTATCCGGATCAGACTTCATCATCAGGATCGTGTACAGGACGGACCCTGGCACTTGGACCTTCATCTATTGGACTGCTACACTACTTCTTTCAAGCTGGAACCCTCGCTGCCACACGTCACAAGCCTGCTGAAGACTGGTTTATCATCAGCATTCTGTCTATCCATACCAGGACTTACTTCAAGACCTGCTTCAAGCCTCTCATCCAGATCATTTTGCAGAACCTGTGATTTCCCCCCCCAACCCCATTCACTTCTAGATCCTCAGAAACCCCAACCCTCTGAACACTGCAAAATAATTTTTCCTTCTTTATTTTTGCCCACAGAACTCTTTCGCCCACCAATGTAACCCTGTCGTTCATTAGTAGGCAAACTATGTTCCCTCTCAGTTCACAGCTCCGTAGTCCATCAGTAAGCATACCGCGTTGCTCATCAGTACGAAAACCCTGTCTCCCCCAGCCCTTGCTACCCCCATTATACCCCTCCCTTTTTCTTCCTGCTTCCCAGTGATCGGCCCCGTCCTGTCCTTCACGGGATTCAGCATTATTTTTATGACCTTTGGCAGCCGGGATGTTGCCTTCTAGAGGGAGGGGATAGTGTTACGGACTCCGCCAGGGCTCGATCCCTGGTCTGTGGATTACCACCCGCCAGCTTGCTGTATCTAGTTTCTTTTTTTGTTTTTGTGATTTTCTTGTTTTGTTTTACTTTGTTTTTGCTTTTCCGATTTCGGACACTTGGCGCCATCCGGCATCCTGGCGCCCACTCTCAGACTTCCGATTTTCAGTTCTGACCCTGATGCACTTTTCACTTTCGCCCTCAGGACCGCACTTGAGTCCGATACTTAAGTACAGACTCAAGCACAGTAAGGGGACAGAGTTTTCAGCCTCAGTGCTTGTGTTCAGTGTGACTGGGCTTCGACATTGTGTTCGGAAATTCAAGACTGCGAGTTTGGGACTTTGCCACTTTGTGTCTGCATCCGTCAAGTCCTGTCGGGTCTGCGTCAAGTTGAGCGAGCGTGTGTGTGCTCTCAATCTCCCTCTCTCTCCCAGCCTCGCTGCTCTGCCTATGCCTCGTCACAGCAGGGGTGGCGGGTCAGGGCTGTGCCCTGCAAAAAAGCTGATACCACTGCCACAGCAGGTACACAGGCCGAAAGTGCCCCACACTGGCAACCTCCAAGTAGCTGTGTTGCAAACATGTGTGGAAAAGGAAGATTTGGGCACTTCTCCGCATGCGCAGCAGCCCCGCATCTTTTTTTTTTTTTTTTTAACACCCGCACGGGTGTCCCATGCAGCCGCCCGGCCGGGCGGCTCAGGAAGCCTTGATGTTTTCTAAATTACTTGTAGACGTACTAGGGGACCTGTTGCGGCTACGCCCGCAATAAAATTGGAATGTTTGCCAACAAGTTGGAGTCGATCTTTCTCTCTCTCTCTGTGGCATACTGTGCAGCCACACGGGCCCTGCAGGGCCCGTCCCGAACCTCCAGCCTGTTTCCCTACAGGGAAACTTCCAGGCTCTTGCCTGGAAGCTTCCTTCTGACAGGGCCTACAGGCCCCAGCCTGTTTCCCTACAGGGAAACTTCCAGGCTCTTGCCTGGAAGCTTCCTTCTGACAGGGCCTATAGGCCCCAGCCTGTTTCCCTACTGGGAAACTTCAGGGAACTTCCAGGCTCTTGCCTGGAAGCTTCCGCAGGGTCTAGGCCAGGGGAGCATTGGCACGGCCAGCCTCCTGCACGGGCCAGCACTATAAAGGACTGGCCCGCCCAGCAGGAAAGGGGTCAGTAGGCAGAGGTAGTCTTCAGGATTCGGCCGCAGCACTCAGGAGGAGCGCTGCAGTAGTCTTCAGCGCTAGGCAGTAGTGGTAGCGCTAGCTGTAGTCTTCGGCGCTGGGCGCCATAGCTGTAGCTGTAGTCTTCAGCGCTGGGCGCTGGTAAGTAGTAGATCGCAGAGTGGGAGAGAGACTGGCGGAGGCCAGTGTTACTTACCTGTGGCGCCATCGCTCCAGCTCCATCTTCGTGGTACCTGCATCAAGGCGCCAACTTCACAGGT